ATTTATTCACTTTATAAAAATTTTATATTTTTATTAAAAATTTAAATCCTCACTTATTATCGATTTTTTATTAAATATATTTTACTTATAATATTACAAGTAATGTTTAGAAATTCAAGTTAGTCGTTCCCATATTAATAAACCTATGTAATTAATAGAATACAAATTAAACTATATAAACACTATAAACACGAATATTTAATTATTGTTAATATAAAATTTTCTTATATAAATTTAAGCAAAAAAAAAAAAAAAATACTACAAGGAAATTTTTTAGTTAACAATTCCTATTTTTAATTTTTTGACAGAAAATCATTTTAAAAAAAACAAATATATTTTTCTAATGTATTTTAAATTACAAAAAAAAAAACAAAAAAAAAAATGTCTATTAATTTTTTTTCTTTTTTTAAATCTGGTGCTTTCATGGCTAACTACTTATTTTCCATACAGTTATTACTTTTTATTATTAAAAAGATTAATAATGTTCTTTATTAGCAAATTTAAGAGCTATGAATTTGAGTTTATAAACATTGCTCTTAACATTATAAGTAAAATATATTTAATAAAAAATCTATAATTAACGAAGATTTAAATTTTTAATAAAAATATAAGATTTTTATTAAATAGTCTCTTAAGAACAATAAATACCTAATTGAGTAGACTATATAAATGCAATTTACCGATTTATTGCATTAAAATTAAAATTGAATTCATTAAATTAGTAGAGGAAACTTTCCATATTCCTTATTAATACGTTTTTTCAGTGTACTAGAAAACTTATTAAATAAGCAATTAATAAACCAAATCATAAATGTGCATGATGAATTTTATATCTTTCACGTATATACTAACTATTATTCAAAAAATATTAATAAAATGTTTAATTAACTATATTCAATCATTAATTTAGTAATTGCTTCCTAAATAACTTTGTTAATATAGAACGAATAAATTAAAAAGAGCATATAGAGAAACTTTGTTTGATATATTTAAAATAAAAGATTTAACAAATTATGTATATTTATTAATATAGAACACTAATTACATTAGCTAATTACTATTTTAATTAGTTTATGCAATATTCTGTGTATATAATATCTAATATTACATTTATAATATTTCTGAAAAAAAAGAAACTTTACACAATCAGCCTTACAATAAAAAAAAAAAATTTGTTTGTTTTTTTTTTTTTTTAAAAAAAAATACAAACAAAAAAATTGATCATTTTTTTTTTTTTTTTTTTTTTGTGTGCATGACCAACTTCGTATTCTTCATTTAATTAGTTCTTTTATTTTCCAAAAAGATTAATAAAGCCTTTTATTTACCAGTAACAGATCTTTTTCCAATTGATTTTTATTTTTTTATCAATTTTTTTTTTTCTGACGGTCTTTGTTTTTTTTTTTTTACAAAAATACACAAAAAAAAATTGATCATTTTTTTTTTTTTCTTTTTGTGTGTGCATGACCAACTATGTATTTTTCATATAACTATCCTTTTATTTTCCAAAAAGGTTAATAAAGCCTTATATTAACCAAAGATATAGTGAAAAATGCAATATTAATATATAATAATATCTCATATATTGCGATAGGAGAAACACAATATTTTTCTATGTTTAGAATTACTTCTATATATCTATATTTTTTAAATATAATACCAGAAAATAAATCAGAAATAAGAATTATTTATTCAAATAATTGGTAGAAAAATTCACATGATAATTTAGTGAATTAAAGAAAAATCCTTAATTAAAGGTAAGTATATCAAAATTGGAGATATTATTTCTTATGAATTGTTTGCATATGAAAAGAATTAAATTAAATATTATAGTAGAAATGTATAGCATAAATCACATTAGTATTTCTTCACAGGTTAACTGAAACCATAAATAAAAATTTAAAAGAAATAACTATGTATTATAGAGGAAAAAAAATATTCTTCCCTTTAACGAAAATTAAATTGTTAAGTAATGAAACGAAAGATATATGTTAAAGATAGTTGAAAAATCTTATAAAAGTAAATAATAAATACAAAAAAAAGTAAAAGCGCAAATATTCATTAAAACCTAATGATTATTCTGATATTTATGAACGAAACAATATTTCACACAATGAAATTATTATTAATATAAATAGAAAAATAAATGATGGAATACAAAAAAGATCTGATGTTGTAAAAAAGTCTAGAGAAGTTAATCCTTAAGTAACCCCATTGCATATTTGGGTAGTGGCGTATGATTAATAGATTATTAACATTTTGTAAAATAATGATTAGTTTCTTATACTGAAAATAGAAAATTCACTACGCATATTAAACAGTTATGAAGAAAAAAAAATGTTTTTTTTTTTTTATATTAGTGCATTTTTTTTCTATTTGTTCATTTTGTGTTAATGATACTTTTGTTTTTGAAAAGTTAACAAGATTTGTCAAAATGAATTGAAATTTGAATGAAAAAAAAATGGAATTTTATATTATAAAGGAAAAACAAAACGGATTTTTTTATTTGTATTTAAATTATCACATGTTTTAACATACGATAAACAATTTGAATTTAAGCTTTTTTTGCATAAACAATCATTCTTACCTTAATATATGTATATAATAAATAAAAACAATAAAAACTTCTTTACAAAATCTTTACTGATTCATTTGTTAAATACTCTATCAAAGTCATTAAAAAGATAATTAATAAATAACATAGAAAAGATTTTTTTATTTAATATTTCTTTTTAATATCATTTAAAGCAGGTCAATAATACTATTTATTGACTTTATCCTTTTATGTGAATGTTTTAACATGCTTTTTCTCTTACTATAACTTGCATGAACATAAAAATTTAATTATTTAATATTATTTAAAGTAATTTGATAATACTATTTATTGATTTTGTATGTACTTTTAGATATGTATATTAACATGCGTATTTTCATCGTATAACTTACATGTACCAGTAAAAATCTATTTATTTAATATTTATTCTCAATTCATTATAAAATATGTCCATGATAACATTTATCAATCAAGTATATACCTTTGTGTACTCATATTAATGTGCATGTTTTCTTCGTATAACTCGCATGCACAAATGAAGTTTTATTTATTTAATACTTCTTCCTAATACCATTTAAATTATTTCGATAATACTATTTATTGACTACTAGTTAAAAAAAAAAAACATATATAAATATTTTATATTTATAATTTATTTATTGTTAGAATATTTTTTTTCTCTTGTCTAATTTTATAGGACTCTTAATGAAGTAAAATTTTTTTTGTTAAGTTGGATTAATTTTTGAACAATAAATAATTGAACTTAATATGTAAAAAGAAAAAAAGAAAAAAAATTTGTCAAAATATTTATTTAATTCTTATATATTTCAAAAAGACTTATACTAATTGGAATTTCAGTTTATATGATATTTTTTAAATATTATTTTATATATAAGTAACAATTTTAACTATTATTCTAATTTTTAACAAATATAAAAACGTATTTTGATTAAAGTAAATATATGTCTTTAATGTAATTATTTCTCAATTACGTAAATTATATGTATAATTCTTATGTATTAGTATAATCACTATATACTTTTACAAAAATTAAAATTTGCTGAGTTATTTTTACGTGTCTTCTGTTAATTACTTTATTAAATACTGAATTAAAATCATTAAATAATTAGTAAAGCATTAATACTTTAAAATAATTTCAACTTTTTTTTAAAGAAATTTAAAATTTACGGGTTAAATATTAATAATATGCCAACTTTTGTTTACTTTTGAAAATTGAAAAAATATAACCACTATTAATTTGCTATATTCAGATATTTTTTTATATTAAACACATGCTTATAAAAAAATAATCTTAAAACACATAAAAATAAAGAAATTTAATAGGTTTTTTTAACCATGTAAAATTTATTTTCCTCTTTTTGTAATATTAATAAATAATTTCTATTAAAAAAGTAAAAAAGTAGAATTATCAAAATTAAAGTAAAAAATAATAAAAAATATAAATGTACATATAAATATTATAAAATAAAACAGAAGAAAAAAGTAAAAAAAAACAAAAATTGAAAAAATAATATAATAAAATTAAATCTAGCAAATTTATAGTTAAAACTTATCATTTAAAAGCTGTTTTTAATAGCGTCATAAAAAATATATATAATTGAAAGATCTTTATTTTTTTTAACCTCTTTTTACTAGTTCTATCTTTTTAAAAAATGTTTAATTATTTATGAAAAATGAGGATTTGATCTTTAATATATAATAATATACTTTATGTTAAATAAAATTAAATATTTTATATGTTCTTAAAACTATAATTATGTGAGTATATCTTAAATATATAAAAATTACCCTTTTATTTTTTTTATATAAAATTGATATTAAGTATTTTTTGTGAATATAATTTACATAAATTAAATATAAAAAAATAAATGAATTCAAATTTTTTAGAGATTTATTTTACTATATTTTTTAATAAATATTATAATTAGGAAAGAAAAAAAAAAGAATCATAAATTTTTTATTTCTTTTTTATCAATGGATGCATCTACAAATGCAAATATCTTTGTAACTGTACAAGCTACACAACCTCAAACTATTTCAATTATCCAAACAACTCAAGATACAACAAATATTCCATCTATATCTATGTTTGTATTGTAATTTTAAATTTAATTCAAGAAATAATTAACTCTATAACTTCTCCATAACCTCAAAATACATCAAAATTAATACCTGATACTATTATTCCTAATATACCTACAAATGTACTAACAACTGTATCTCCAACTACTTCAACACCTGGAAATAATTCCGCATTACATTCTACTGAGACACCAATAGATATATCTATAATCTTTCTTATATCTACATCTGAAAATTCAAGTGTACTTGCAACTTAAGCAATGAAAGTGTTTATGACTTCTCTATTACTTTAAAACATATATACATTAATATCTAATACTTTACTTCAAATATATCTACAATCATACCCATGGTTACATCAACAAACTCATGTATATATGGATATTTACAAACAAATAAATCTCTAATTACTAAAATTCCTGGATCTAATACTTTATAACTACCTATTACCATTCCCACAAATATGAATTCAACTAGTCCAACATCTGGAACTAATTCAACATTATCTCATAGCACGGCTTCAAATATTTAATCAATTTCATCTACATCTACGTTTCTAAATTCAAATATATCAACAATTGTACGAACACCTATTCCTACAGATACTCTAGCTCCTAGAACTAATTTCACTCTACCATAAATTGTTGTACATGCAAATACACCTAAAAATTTACCCAAAAGTGAATCCAGAAAAGTAAATACAAATATAAGTGCACAAATAGTTATTACTACAATTACTCAAACACCTGACACTAATTACATATTAGCATCTACTATAAATCCTGAAAATATATCTTCAGATTTGTCTATATCTGCAAATTCAAATATAAATATGGTTCAACCGATAACTATGTTAAAACTACTTCATCATCTGGAAATATATTAACACTTGCATTTACTATCGTACCCGCGAATATATTTGTATATTTATTTATAATTGAGTACGGAAACGCAAATATATCTTAAATTTTACTTATATTTATTCTTACAAATTCAAATATACCTAAAATTAAATAAACAATATCTAAAATTATTCCAACACCTGGAGCTAAATTACAAACAAAAAATATATATCCTTATGCAAATAAATCCACAAATGCAACTGTATCTACTTTATCTGCACATACAGATACAACTAAAACCACTTCAAATACTGTGAAGAACAATTCTACTTTTAAGATTAATAAACCTAGATTTAATTCATATATGAATAATCCTTTCACATTTACAAAATTAATACATAGCTAAAACCATACTAATAATAATACATTACATATTTCATCTAATAATATTCGAGGTACTCCCTAGTCACTAGTCCAAAATATAGTTACTGTAAATACGTCTTCCAATAATTCTACTTGCATTGATAGCCTTCCCAATTAGCGAATCACCTTTTGGAATTATTTTTTTTTATTGTTATTCTGCATAAAGTGACAAAAAATTACTATAAATATATATATATATATATATATATCACTGTATTTCTTTTAATTACTTGTTATAATTATTACTTCATTGTCATTAAAAATTTGTATATTATATATTTACAAAATTTATATTTATATAATAGTAAGGTCCTATTAGATTTATAATTGGTAGTAAAAGACAAAAGAAAAGGAAAAAACAAATAAAATGCAAAAATCAAAAAGAAAGCTCAATGAATTTTGTGGTAACGCCTTTGAAAATTCTATGTGCATTGTTAGATAGTAATATTCAATCCAATGATGTATATAATAGGACAAATAATTCGTTACAAAAAATTAGATATGAAAATGACATAAATAATGCGCTTATAGAAAAATAAGAAGAAAAGGAAAATGAAAACTTTAAAAAAAAGTCATAAAAAAGAAAAAACAGAATAAAATACAAATAACGCAAAAATAAAAAATGATGCTGCAGTGACGAGAAAAAAATTAAAATGGAAGACTATATTAAAAATACATATGATGGTAATGGATGATTGCGAAAAGAAGAAATGGGAAAAGAACAAAGGAGAATTTTTTGAAGATTATTTGGTAGAATTAAAAAAAGAAGGTATACGTTCGTACGTAACAATCAGAGATGTAATAATGAAAAAAGAGATAGAAGATAACATTAATACTATGTTAGAAAACAAAATAATCTGTGGGCTTAGTGCATAAAAAAGCATAAGAATATGTTAGAAAAATGGAAAAAGGAAAAATAGTTTGAAAGTTTGAAGAGGGAATGGAAAGAGGAAGAAGTTAACTATTAAGAAATAATAAAAAAAGAAAGAATAATAAAAAGTACAGAAAATGAAATAATCCCATAGAAAAACAAAAAATAATATGGAAAAAATACGTAAAAAAACATGGAAAGTGGTTGTGTGACACTAATGACTTAAAAAGTTTTAATGAATTGCTAAAGAAATATAAAATAGAAGAAACGAAAGAAAATAAAGGAGTAGATAGTGAAGAAGGAAATATTAAAATATAAAGGGAAAAAAAATCAGATAAGGATTCAAAGAAAAATAATTTGGCATTGAAATTATGGATTAAAACACATTTGATGATATTAGAAGAACATAAAGAAGAGGAGATGATGATGAACAGAGATGAATTTCATAAAATATCCATAGAAAAATTGAAAATAACAATAAATCCAAAAGAAACATTAGAAATAGAAAAATAAATAAGAAGAAATATTACATTAGAAAATAAAAATGCAGAATTAAAAAAATTAAGGTGAGAAAATTGATTTCTTAAATTGAAACTATATTGGATTAACGAAGAAAAAAAAATGTTAAAGAGATGAATAAAAAAATTTATAAGAAAATAATGAAGAAAAAATTAAAGATTCTATATTATGTCTGCAAAAAATTATATGAAGGAAATGCAAAAGAGATAAATGGAAAATGAAAACGCGGAAAAATGGCCTATGAAAATGATGAAAAAAAGCACAAATAAAGAAACATATAGAAATGAAATGGGTAAAAAGAATGATATAAAGAAAGTGAAAACGAAGGTGAAAGCAATATGAAAAGAAAAAAAATAAAAAATTAACGTGAAGAATATAAAGAAAAAATAAATAAGAGTAAAAAGGGGAAAAAAGTAAAAGAAAAAAAAATGAAGGATGAAGAAGTGTAAATGAAAAATAAGAAAATTTATGACTTTGAGAAAAATGCCAAAGTGGAAAACTATGATAGAAATACATGTGATTATAATGGAAAATTATAAACACAGGGAGTGAAAATTAAACAGAGAAAATTTTTTGGAATGTTGTTTAGATGAATGGAAAAGAAATAAAAGATAATATGGTAATGTAATGGGAACAAAAAGTACAATGTATTTAGAAGAAGCAATATTATTGCATTAAAAAGGAAAAAAATGCATTCTAGGAAATTGATGGAATAACATAAAAAAACGTAAGAAAAATGGAAAAAATAATGATGTTAGCAATATTATTTCATTTGAATTGACAAAATATGAGATATATTACATGAGAAAATATAATAGAAATATCTGATATAAATATTATAGGTGCTTATCATATGAACAAATTAAAATTGAGAATAGAAAATTAAAAACAATACATATATATTATGGAAATAAAAAAATTTAAATTCTAACTAAAGAACCAATTTATTAAGCAACAAAACATATGAAATATATAAACACAATTAATGAGTCTAATAAATGTCATAAAGGAAAAAAAGAAACAATTCCAAATTTTATGTATGAATTAAAATGAAAAAGTTATTTTTATATGTGAAAAAAAAAAATTTTTATTTTATTTTATAACATGATTAATATTAAAAATAGCAATTAAATGAATGAATATCAAAAAACATGCTACTATAAAGAAAGATAATGTACAGAAAACAAAGTAATGCCATTACTTTTCTCAAGATTATAGAGTATGGTTAATAAACAGTCTTATAATTATATTTAAATTTTTAATAAGATAAAAGAGAGTGTATTAAATATTTACTTGCGCATGTAAAGTATCTAAGGAAAATAAGATCATTAATATAATTATTCTATCATTAAATAAAAAAAATTCGAGCACTAGGATTAGAACGATGCAACACGAATAATTAAATTATACTGAAAAATAAAAGAATTTTAAATATCTTTTTTTTTATGATAGTATATTATATTCATTCAATTTTTTTGTAATACAGTAGGGATACCTAAGAAATTGATATTAATTGATTAATATATAAAAATTAGTATACATTGTCATATTTAATATAAATAAATTGCTTTTTTTTGTTATTTTATGTAATTATATAAGGAGTATATATAATTATCTGTAATATTTAATATTTAGTAAATTTAATAATCAGATATTTGTTTTCTTATTTTGTGTGAATCTGATTATTTATTATAAAAAAATATTAAATCAACTAATTAATAAATAATTCATTATGTGATGGAAACATTATAATTAATAAGTTAAAATAAAAATTTTTTTTTTAAACTCTTTTAACATAAAATTAATAAATAATAAATAAGCCTAATATAAATATAAATTTCAAAAGTATATATTTATAAATGAATATAAATTATTATATAGATTATATAAAAACAAAACATTGCGATAAAATAAAAATTAAATAATGATGTTAATAAGAAGATTAAATTAAGCATACTGTATAATCATATTTTTTTTTTTTAATAAAATTAAATTCAAACCACGCATGAAAACATGTTATATTTAATAAAATATAATAGAAAAGATTTATATATTTATTTTAATTTTTATAACTATTTTATATAACCTATAATATTATGTAATCTTTTTTAAAGCAATTTTTTTTCTTACGAACATTCTAATGGAAAATACGATTGAATACTGACTTTATTATGGATATATTATAATTATTTATTTAAATATATTTTTAAAATAATATAAATATTTTAATTTATTTTGATCATAAAAATATTAAATTTTATTATAAGAAATGTATAAAATTTTCTAAATAAAAATCATTAAAATAGTAAAAAAAATTTAAATTTATCACACTTTTACTGTTCCTTTTGTATACAATTAACGTAATTCATATATCATTAATTATACTCTTAAAAAAAAAAAAATAAAAATAAAATAAATTAGAATTTTAACATATGTAGATTTAGAATAAGAAATAAGTACATTATTTTACATTTAAAACATGCTAAAATTAAATCTTGTTTGTTTTTTATTAGAATATATTTTTTAAAGATTTAAAATTTACTCTTCATATGAAATTTACATAAGCACTCAAAGGGAAAAATAAAACTAAAAAACCATAAATTTAAAAGTTTTAATAACTATTACTTAATTTTTATTAAATATAGTAAAATAGAAAAAAAAAAAATATATGTATATGTATTATATTTATCCTTTAAATATAAAAAGAAATTTATGCATTTTTTAATTGCATGAAATCATAATTAAAAAAATATTATGCTTTTAAGTTATAAAATATGCGTATTAATTAAAGAGAAACTAAAATATATTAAGAGAATTATAAAATATCTTACTATTTTAATTTAAATAAAAAAATGTTATATTTTATATAATGAACAAATTTATCCAATTTTTTATAGAAATATCTAAATAAAAAATTTTTTTTAGTGTACAATTAGGAATCCGAAATTTAATTTTATTATAGATAATTCTTTATTTTTAAATATCTTTTAAAAATATAAATAATTAAACAAGTTTCAAATGAAAATTCACATATATTTACTATATCATTCTTATTTATTGGTAATATTATTTAGAATAAATAAAATAAAAAGCGTTTTATTATTTTTTTTTTTTAATTTTTTATAGATCACAATAGTAGTGTATATTTACATTTGTTGCATTGATCCATATTATAACTTAAAGAAGTATTAAATTTTTTTTTTTAAAAAAAAATATTATATATTCATAATAAAATTAATAATTCTTTTTTATATTTTATCAGATATAAACTCAAATTTATAAGGAATATAGAAATACAATTAGTAAGAAATCTAACGGAATTGTTTAATTTTAAAGATGAAGATATTATAAATTCTTCAGGTATTTCATTGAAGGATCTACAATTATTATACAACAGAAGAGAATCAAATTATGAAAACACATTGGCTGAAGGATATTTTGGAGATTCAAGAAATTTATTTGTAAAATTAATAGATACATTATTTATAAAAAATTATTACAAGAACTTAGAAAAAGATAAAAAGCTTATTAGAACTATATATAACACATTAGATTCTACCAGCTGCGAAGTGTTAAATTTTTTAAGAAACTCACTTAATGACGCGAAAGATCATATAAATATGGTATTTCAGGAACTTAACTCTTCTGTTAAATATGAATTGGTAAGATTTAGTGATGTAGAAATCACCCTTAGCCACAATGGAGATAACATGGATCTATTAATTAATGAACAAGATGCACATGAATACTTAGAACAGCTAAAATTTAATAGAGAGATTCCTTTAAGATTAGAAAATTCCTTTGACTATTTAAGCAAATTGAATGAAAAAAATGATATATTTTTTTCTAAGCTTAGTAATGGTATTTTTAGATACACAACTTATACTTTTGATTATATAAAGTTACTTAATAATAAGTTTCCCCTTAATTATATTTATGGAGGTAAGTCTGATATCATTAATTACTGTAGATATGAAATGGAATATATTTTTAATGAATTTACTAATTCTATATTTTTATTTAATAAAAAAAGATACACTACATTTATTTCTATAAAAGAAAATATTAATGAATTCTATAACTTAATGAATAATAAAATTAGAGAATTAGATCGTACAATAGAAGAAAAAACACATAAATTATTTATGGTACTAAATAAAATATTAAATGGAGATATAAAATGTATAATATCATTTATTGCATACATATTTGAAATAAATCTTTCGAATAATAAGTTTAAATTAGATAAAATTAAAGAAAAATATAATGAGAAGTTATTTCAAGATAAAATTTTAAATAAAATAAATGATTTATTTTTACAAGAAAAAGAAGAGATAAAAGAATCCTTAGTAGAATTTAAAACCTATATAAAAGATATTTTTGGTTTCGATATGAATAGTACGGGTATTAGATCATTAATAAACAAGCTATATGGATCAATTGATATAAAACATATTACAGAAATATTTGAAGTTATTGTATCCTCATTATTATGTAAGAAACAAATTAATGAGTATGCAAATTTTATACAATTACTTAAAAATGAATCTAAAAATAGAAGGTTAGATAAAAAAAAATTTATAGGTACCCACGGAAGAATAAATGAAAAAGTTTTATTTATTCCAAAAAATAAATCTGAATATTTAATATTAATGTATGCTGAAATTTATGAAAGAAATAGTTTTATTAATAATATTAAGAGTTGCTGTAGTCATTTATCATTAATATTACGGGACTTGGATGAAGGAATATATAAGTTTATTATCTTTAGATTCTTAATATATTCGTTAAATAATGAGTTGAATAAATCAAAAAAACTTTATTTCAGTTCTAGAAAAAAAAAATTATTGAACAAAAATGTTATATTATATTTTCTCTATGACATTATGAACTTTGATAGTAGTTATGAAAAAAAAAAATACAAAGATAGTTATCTCTATATTTATTGACTTATATTAAAAATAGTAGTATTTACAAATAAAAAAAGATATGTATATTATTAAATTACTTTTGAAACATTTATTTTTATTTTCATTTTGTTTTTGATTTATTATTTTGATAATTAATTACATATGAAATACACTAAACAGTCTAGTTAATGCATAGGATGCAGGTTGATTTATACTATTTTATTTATTATAAAAATAAATATTGTATGTAATGCATGATCCTAATTTCATTATATAACATAAAGCAAATAATTTACTTTACATTAAATTTAAAATTCATTAATCAATTATATGTTAATTAAATAGTTTATTATTCTTAGTTCTCTAAAATTTTATAATAGTGTCAATATTGTTTAATAAAAATAATTAAATAGTTGTATTAAAGCTTAAATATTTTATAACAAGTATTCAAAATATGATACACATTTATCCTTAATAAGTGTTACTCTTTTCTTGATAAAATTTATTCTTTTTATAATTGGTCATTCATTATTAAAACAAGAAAAAAAAATTATTTTTTATTTTACTTTCTTTACGCATTTTTGAAATACCTTATGTGCTACATAATCTCTCAAAAAAAAAAATAAGCATATAAAGTACGTAATTAGTTTTTAAATAATACTACATACCTCTTTTACACAATATTTATATAAATAAATACAATATGAACAATTTATTTTGTGTATATTATATCGTTAATATAATGTGCAATAATAAATGTGTACATTAAAAAAAAAAGAATATAATAAAAAAAATATTATCCTAGAACATTTTTTTTTTATGCTTGTGTTATATTACAAAAAAAAAATTGTTATTATTATTATTTTTTATTTATTTTTTTTTACTTTACTCACTTTTAGTGTTAGTATATATTTTTTTTTTTCTTAATTCATGTATTTTTGAATTATTATTTAAACATTATTCAAAACAATATAAGAAAAAATATGTTTCATTATGATCCATATTCAATGAGGATTTAAATTTTTAATAAAAACAAAGATTTTTATTAAAGTAAATAAACTCCGATTGAAAACAAAGAATACACAACGAAGTAGGAAACACAAAATACAGTTTAATTGTTGATAGAATTTAAAATTATGCTAAATCTCACAAAATTATTAGAGAAAATTCTACATACTCTTTATTAGAATGTTTGTTCATCACTCTATCAATGTCATTGAACAGGTATTTAGTAAAATATGAGTCTACCTTATTAAACATTTATTTAATAAAAATCCATATTTTAATTAAAAATTTAAATCCTCATTTATTATTTTTTCTAATTAATATATTTTATTTATAGTTTTGTTTAATATGTAACCTTTCAAATCCACTGATATAAAATTAGTAAATATAAGTAATTAGTAAAATACAAATTATGTTATGTTAATATTACAAACATGAAAAATTTTTTTTTTATATAAAATATTCTCTTAAAAAAATTCAAAATAAAAATTTACTAAAAAAGAAAATTCTTTATTCAATAAATTTTGTATTTTTCAACAAACATTCTCCATAATCTATAATCCTTTTTTTTTTTTTCAAAAGAAATAAATATCTTTTTTATTTATTTGATTTATTAAAAAAAACCAAAAAAAATTATTAACCAATTTTTATTTTTACTTTTTTATTTTGGGTTTGCATGGCTAACTGTGTATTTTCTATATAGATAGTTATTTTCTTTCTCAAAAAGGTTAATAATTTCATTTATTAATAACACAACTAATAATTTATTTTCCATACAGCTATTACTTTTTATTCTCAAAAAGTTTAATAGTACCTTATGTTTACTATGTGTATTTTAAAAAAAAAATCTATATAGAATAGTATGTAAAAATAATTATATATTTTTATTATGAATGTTGTTTCTAGAGTTATACGACAAAATATTGGCATTTCTATATATTTGTTTTTCTCTGGATATTTACGTGTATTAACAAAGAATAATATATTTTTTTTTTAACCTTATCATAACTGACAACAAGTTAAACAATACTATTTATTGATCACACTGATAAGCAAGTACATTAAAAGACTTGTATACTTTTCAGATATATACAATCTTACATCTCCGCTATGAGAAGGAAAATTACTTTTCTATGCTATATCTCTTGATGCATAATATCATGAACTTTGTGAAGTATTTACAATTTCATTATAAGATGGGATGAAATAAAAGTCTTCATGTTCTACTAATATATGTTTATAATATAGTGCTATGTAATATGGAAGATAATTTTCATAATATTTAGACCTAAAAATCTAATAAGACAAACTACTTTGAATTTCATCAACATGTTTGAATTCTTAATTAAATTATGTTACACTTAATTTCTATTTATACAATTTTCCATTACTAATAAATACAATTCCAACAGTACTTTTATAATTAGTGAAAATTAATGTTTTAGATAACTTATTATAATAATCAAATCTTTCACAAAATATAACTATTTAAAATAATATCATTTCTACAGTACTACTTTTTCATTAAACATAATTTAACTTCTTTGATATGGAATACATAACTATTGTCTGAAATGTGTCATTATATACTTGAGTTAATAAGCCCCCTATAGAATAATCTGATTCATCATCAAAATAGCATAAGGTTTTCATAGTTCAAAGAATTAAAGATTAATTATTTTGTCTATCTTTTCTTTTATTTGTTCAAATGACTGGAAACATTCCTCAATACATACAAACTTTTTCTTTTAACCTAATAATAGAAATAGTTTATATGCCCATTATAAAAATTTCTTTATATAACTTCTTGTTTTATTAACTGCGTGTTCGGTGACTTTATTAGAGTACAGAACAAACAAATTAATAAAGAGCATGTAGAGTATCCTCTAGGGTTTTGATGTATTTATGAATATTTTTAAATGTTTTGAATGTGTGATCCTTAATTATGTAATCTACTTCATTCGGTATTCTTTAATTTCAATAGTCATTTATTTACTTTAATAAAAATCCTTATTTTTATTAAAAATTTAAATCCTTATTGAAGATTGATTATTAATTAATTGTAAATTACTAGTTTATTAGTTATGATTACATTCAGCAATTAATATATATTTCTGTTTAATTAACAAACATAAACAATTATTGACAAATACAAAAAATTATATAAATATTAATTACATGAAAATTTTATTGTTATATGTATAAAATTTTCTTTTACAATATTAATCAAAATCATATTTCATTCCAAAAAAAAAAAAAAGGAAAACTTTTTTTTTTTTTTTTTTTTTTTTTTTATTTATTTATTGGTAAGAAATCTTTTTCCAATTGATAATTTTTTTTTTTTTATCAATTTTTTTTCCTGACGGTCTTTGTACTTTATTTTTAAAAAAATTACAAACATAAAAAATTGATCCTCATTTTTTTTTTTTTTTTGTGTGTGCATGACCAACTTCGTATTCTTCATTTAACTAGTCCTTTTATTTTCCAAAAAGGTTAATAAAGCTTTTTATTAACCAGTCTAATAAACGTTACAGAGGAAAATAAAGAAACAATTCCAATTTTTATATATGAATTAATATGAAAAAGTTATTTCTATATCTGAAAATGAATTTTTATTTTATAACATGATTAATATTAAAAATAGAAATTAAATGAATGAATATCAAAAAAACATGCTACTATAAAGAATTTGAAGACAAAAAACAAGGTAATATCATTACTTTTCTCAAGATTGTAGAGTATGGTTAATAAATATTCTTATAGTTATATTTAAATTTTTAATAAGCTAAAAGATAATGTATTAAATATTTACTTGCGCATGTAAAGTATTTGAGTAAATTAGAGCATTAATGTAATTATTCTTTCATTAGTTTACAAAACATTCAAGCACTAAAATGAGAGCGCTGTAATACGTATAATTAAATTATACTAAAAAATAAAAGAATTTTAAATATCATTTTTTTTATGATAGTATATTATTTTCATTTAGTGTTTTTGTAATACAGCAGGGATGACTAAGAAATTGATATTGATTAATTTATAAAAAATCGTATACTATGACATATTTAATATAAAATAAATTGTTTTTTTTTGTTATTTTATGTAATTATATAAGCAGTATTTATAATTATCTGTAATAGCTAAAATTTAGTAAATTAAATAAGCAGATATTTGTTTGCTTGCTCTGTGTAAATCTGATTATTTATTATAAAAATATTAAAACAACTAATTAATAAATAATTTATTATGTGATTGAAACATAATTAATAGGATTAAATAAAATTTTTTTTTTTAAACTCATTTTACATAAAATTAAAAAATAATAAATAAGGCTAAGATAATTAAAATTTCAAATGTATATATTTATAAATGAATATAAATTATTATATAGATTACTTGAAAAAAAAACAGTCCGATAAAATAAACATTAAATATTGATATTAATAAGAAGAATAAATTAAGCATACCGCATAATCATATTTTATTTTAATAAAATTAAATTCAAACCCCGCATGAAAACATGTTATATCTAATAAAATATAATTAGAAAGGATTTATATATTTATTTTAATTTTCACATCTATTTTACATAATATATAATCTTCTGTAAACTTTTTAAAAGTAATTTTTTTCTTACATTCTGAAGGAAAATATGATTGAATGCTAACTTTATTATGGATATATTATAATTATTTATTTAAATATATTTTTTTAAAATAATATAAATATTTTAATTTATTTTCATCATAAAAATATTAAATTTCATTATAAGAAATGTTTAAAATTTTCTAAATAAAAATCATTAAAATAGTAAAAAAAATTTAAATTTATCACACTTTTACTGTTCCTTTTGTATACAATTAACGTAATTCATATATCATTATACTATACTCTTAAAAAAAAAAAAATAAAAATAAAATAAATTAGACTTTTAACATATGTAGATTAAGAATAAGAAATAAGTACATTATTTTACATTTAAAACATGCTAAAGTTAAATCTTGTTTGTTTTTTATTAGAATATATTTTTTAAA